TTTTATAATAATAAATATAATTGTTATATATATTATATTGGGCGGGGGGTAAATGTACTTAATTGTCATGACAATTTTGTCAAAATGTACCTTTTTAAGGTCTTAAAATAGGCTCTATTTCCTTAATGAAAAATATAATTACTTATTTACTTATGCTTGACATGTTCTTGACAGAATATTCTGTGAGATTCACCTATAAAGTACTTTATGTAAAGCATCACTGTCTGTGATGTTCATGATATGATGAACCAGGTGCTGTTATTTCATTCAAAACAATAATTTAACTGCATTAGACTGTTAATATCTCTGTTTACTGTGTATTTATAATAAGAAGAAGAGTATAAGCCTTAAAAACAAAGCATTTTATTGGCCATGAGCGATCAGGTACCCAGAACAGAGACAGAGGCATCTCAGTCTCACACACACACACACACACACACACACACGCTCTCTCTCTCTCTCACACACATACACACACACACACACACACGCTCTCTCTCTCTCTCACACACATACACACACACACACACACACGCTCTCTCTCTCTCTCACACACATACACACACACACACACACACTGGCGGTGATCCAGTGATGTGGGATAGTGGGATGTTGAATGAATGGAGGAAACAACTGCATCTTTGTCCTCAGATCCTTTAGTGGTTCACTCACATCGCAGTGAGCTCCATCTCTCCGACACAAAACTCACATCCACAACTCTCACAGCAACAGCCCTCGATCACTTTCAACCGGCACAGTCTCACGATTATATGACACAGACCTGAGGACGATCAGGATGGGTTTCACCAAAATTCAGAATTTTGCTTCCAGGCCATTTGATTCAAGTGTTCTAAGTTAAAACCTAAACTACTTGTTGAAAGCAAATCAGCATATTAGAATGATTTCTGAAGGATCATGTGACACTGAAGACTGGAGTAATGATGCTGAAAATGTAGCTTTACATCACAGGAATAAATTATATTTTAATAATTACAAATTTTTATTAAATTGTAATAATATTTCACATTATTACTGTTTTTACTGTATTTTTTATTAAATAATAAAATAAATAGGACATTGGTGAGCAGAAGAGACGTCTTTCAAAAACATTAAAAAAATCTTAATTATTCCAAACTTTTGGCGTGAGATTCTGAACTGTAGGTGGTGCTAATAGGTTTGGAGGACTGATCTTGCTATAAGGACCGTTGCTTATTTGAAGATGCATTTGCCTTATTTTTATACAAGATTTCTAATTTACAAAATGGAGCTTTAAGTAGAATATTGTTTATTTTTTGTTGGTTTTACTGGAGTTTCGGTCAGTCAGTGAAATACAGCTTTGTTTCGAGTCAACAGTCTCAAAGACAAACCAAGGTCTTCCGTGTGACACGCAAACATTACAAACCCAAAGCCTGAAATCAATTCATTCCGATTTTTTCCGCTTCATGGTGAATTGTGCAATTTGTCAAAGTCACGCTTTTGATTGATGCCTTCATTTGATTAGCATCTCATTACCCAAAAGCCCCTGCGATGATGTCAGAGCTGGAGACACGTCTGCCGATGAGGTGCAAATAGCTTGTGAACTTCATGCACGATGATGATTTGAGTGTTTAAGGTTCATCAAGTGTTTCTTTCTCTGAAACTGAGCCCAGTTTGTTCTCATATTCTAATTTGCATGTTGGTGTATGATTGGATGATTATATAATAGGTCAACAGGTCAGATGTTCAAATAATATCTCTCTGCACAAAGGTCCAACTATTTGTGTATTATATTTCTGAAGGGTAAAAATATTACCTCAGTGTTTTGAATGATAAAAACTCTGTTTGGGTTCAGATGCATCTGCTCTCTGAACCCGAGAACAGCAAAACTCAGCAGAAACCGCTGTAATCAGTTTCTACCGAAGCAGGTCTGAATAGTGGAACGCTTCTCTAATGAAAAGCGGTCCTCATTTGTGCTGCTACATCTCTGCTGGAAGTCACATGAAGGTGAGGATGCTGGAGGAATCTGGCATGTTCAATGTTTCTTGCTTGGCTGCTCAGCATTACTTTCATCAGAGTTGTAATTTGCTCCCATAATGCTCTGCTGCTTTTGAGGTGATATGTGCCCTATACGCAAATGTCACATTAGAATTTTGAATGAGATCCTTGAGATGACCTCCATCTAGTATTTATAAATAAACAAGAACC